CGCCTGTGCTGTAGAGAATTCTCACGTTTTAAAAGAACACTCTAATTTCCCTATGGATGCGCTATCCGTAAATTATGGAGAATTTTGTGCTAACGTATTATGGCTCACAAATTATTCATAATATGGATTAATTTGTTCGTATTACAGACAATTTCATCCATATTATGAATAATTTGTAATCCATTATACGTTGGCACAAAATTCTCCGTAAGCGTGTTCATAAGGAAATGAGAGTGTGATTCGCCTTACGTTTGCAAGTAATTCTCCGTAAGCGCGAGCCGTCAAAAAAAAGAGAGTAGAAACGAATTTTCCTCGCACAGTTAAAAAGGTCGTACTTTTATAATATTTAATTCCGTGCAAACTGTTTATTTAGTCGCAAAAACTAACACTGGTCAAGAAAAATAGCAAAGTCCCCGATTGGACTGAAAGTAATTGTCATTTCAGATTTACGATACCTTTGTAATGAAATTAATTAATTGTTTATTCAGACTTAGAATTGGTTTCTAAGGATACTACATTTTTAAAACTGGCGTTTACCAGGACTTTTCTAGTACTTTCCTGACTAAATTTTTAAAACTTCTATGACCATTTATAAAAGGAAGTATTATAGACTCGTGAGCCTAAACGATAAAACTGTTAAAAACAATTTTAATATTCAGGCCATACTGATTGAAGGTCGCAGAATCAAACTGATGTGAAGTTTAACATTGTCATATCAGGATGTGCAAACTCATACTTTTAATGTAAACTTAAAAACAAATTGAGTCTTGTACTCTGTTAATCCAAATGTGTACATTGTACACTTAAAATAAAGTGTACATGACATGTATGCTTTAAATAATGTGTACATACCCATGAACACATTTATAAATGTGAACATGTCCATGGACACAGCAGAGCTCTGCAAAATCGCCGTAACTGACCGACTGAGGCGATCGGCAGGCGGCCAGCTCTGGCCCTGCACCGACCGCGTCTCGCGGTCAGCGCCGACCGTTTGCAGGTGAGAGGTGAGGACCGAGACGCGGTCGGTGCAGGGCCAGAGCTGACCGCCTGCCGATCGCCTTGGTCGGACGTTTACGGCGATTTTGCAGAGCTCTGGTACACATCTTTGAAGGTGTACATGCCCATGTACACATCTTCCAAAGTGTACGTGGCATGTATACTAACGGTTGTATGTATACTTTAAAAGATGTGTAGGTCTACACCGGCATATGTACATATTTATAAATGTGTACATGGGTATGTGCACATTATTTGAGGCATACATGCAATGCACACATTATTTGAAGCATACATGCCATGTACACTTTATTTAAAGTGTACAATGTACACATTTAAATTGACAGAGTAGTTCTAAAAATTTCACTCGAAGCTTTACAAGCACATATTAAACAAATTCATCGAGGTAGTGGCAAGGGACACATTTAAATCTATACCACGGAAAAAATTGAAAGTTGTTTTGAAAAGCTGCCAGTTGCTTAAATGCATCTGGTCAAGTAAAAATGCATCCTTTTATTAAATAAAAGAAAGGATTGTAGAGGCAGATGATACCAGTTTGAGACCGGTGTCATGCTCTACATAGTCCTGATATCTAAAAATGTTCACTAAGGTCTATAGCTTAGTTGAAGTTGAATAAAGGTTACATGGCCTATTATTTACCGTCCGATTAAAAATCTGCGCGCTCTGCACCCCGAGGTCAATTAAGAAGTCCCGCCGCCGGCGGCCCCACCTCTCTCCTCCTGAGCCCCTTGCCCGTCTAGCTTCCCCCTCTCCAGGCCTGGACACACTTAATCTGAAAGGACATCTATTGTCCACAGAAAGCGGGTTTTTGTGCACATCTGATCTCAACCGGATGCAGATTTGAATCCAGCATGGAATTATCATCCCTTTCCTTGACAATTATTCCTTTGTCCATCATACAGATGTAAATTCCTCACTTGCTCGACTCGATTCCAATCTGCATCCGGTTGAGATGTGCACCAAAACGCGTCTTTCTATGGACAATATAAGTCCTTTTTGATTTAGTGTGCGCACGCAGCGTCGATACGACTAACCCCCCCCCCCCCCCACACACACACCCCCATACCACTGCGAGCTGCGAGAGTACAAAGCTGATAAACCATCAACCGACCAGTTTCTTATAGTGTGGTCTTTAAATGTGGTTTTTGTTTTACTATAAGTATCATCTGCTAATATATAGTCCACAGGCATTTAGTGGGTAGCTAGCTTATGATAAGATTTAAAAACAAAGGCTGACAATGGGGTAGAAAAACCGTGACAGGGTTAGAGTGCAGTGGCATGGCGACGAGTTTACCTTATCAACTGGCACAGGGTTGCCCAAGATGTCGTTGAGCACCACCAAGTAGCTCCACGTGCGCATGAACAACGCCGCGATGTGCACCGCCAATCTCACGCAGCGGGGCTTAGGCAAGGCGCCGATCTCTGCGGCAGACAGCCGCCCAGCCTAGAATGCACAAGAGAATGTGAACACGCCGTGCCCCAAAAGCGACCCAATTCGTGAAGTTACACCCTTAGAAGAGAAAAGCACCGACTGTACGAGGACGCTAACAATTTAGTACATAAACGCAAACCAGTGACCATCTAAAAAAATGACGACCTGCAAACGTTGGATGCAAATACATCGCGTGGATGACCTGCACAGTAAAATTTTTGCAAAATGATTTTGAAGTATTATTAGGATTGTAAACTATTTTCTTTGCATTGCAAACCATTTCCTTCGTAAGTTGCGAAGAAGTAGTTTGCAAAATTACGAACTAATTCTTTGCAGTGTTAGTGTTACACACAATTTTCTTCGCAAGGTGCGAGGAACTAGTTAATAATATGAAAGATTTAGTTTGAAATGCAAAGCTTTTTGCAACGCTTCAAAATTCTTAGCAATGCAGAAAAATGTTCTTTGCAATCTTTACAGTGTGAGAACGTCCGCCAATGCAAGGTTCAGCTCCGCGTTGGTTAAAGTATTTTATCGCTAATTAAATCATCATTCTGTCGCATTTCGTACTTAGGATAAGGGGCATTTTTAGAAACCATAAGAAAGTGAGTGTCATTTTTCCCGCAATTTTTCTTTTTACAGTGCACCAGTCTAAATTGGATTCCTGGGTTATTATTTGACTGGACCACTGGAAACAGTCATTCAGTGGACAGGAGGTATAAACGCAACTCACGACAACGCAGGTTCTAGCAATAAGCTGGAGAATGTCGTCCTCAGACAAAACCTCGAGCGACGCGCCCTTTAAGTGCACGTCAGTGCCGACGCCAGGGTTGCAGAGCCCCGCTCCGGGCCTTGCAGAGAGAGCCGACGCGACAGCTCCGCTGTGCCTCAGCAGGAACATGGCAGCTGCTGGTAGCGCAAGAGCAGGCGGCAGAGCCCGCAGACGGCCTACCAACTCATCAGCGCTCTCTGAACTGAAAAAATTGATAAATACGCACAATGAAAGTGGTTAAATATTGACAAGAGGGAATATCTTACTCCGAGTCTCATTCGCGTGCGTTGGGCACCCGGGCACGACCGGCGTCAACTGCCCGGCCAAATCAGATTTTTACATTTTCATTCTTGCAGAGGATTGTACAGAGCTTGTTTGAGGCGATAAAGCCAGGGTCAGGGAAAGCATTGCAAATGCCAAACCGCAGGCCAACGGTTACACTTTCATCCTGTTTCTGATTCTTAGCAGATGATTCGCAGTTATCAGCTTCTTCTCTCGTAACGTTAAAAGTTCACCAGCTAAAGCAGCAGAAACCCGGTTGCAGTAGTCGAATCTATTTCGGCAGTGAGCTTTCAGTGCGGCTCTCGCGAGTCTGCTGCCGGCCCACTTCCCGCTGTAGAGCTGTTCAGACCGACAGCATCGTAGTGCTACGACCGACACTGAGCAGCTGCCGCTGCCCTGCACAGCCCTATGCCGCCGTCAAAACCGCATAAAACGCTCATAAAACGCGCGCCCCGCCGCACGCTCGCGGCGCCACCCACCACGGCATTCAAAGAGGCGCTCCAAGCCGCGTTTAACGTCGCGTTCTAATGTGGACACGTAAATCCAACCTTGAATACATTGGTAATCTTTGCACTGTTAAATTCCTGCAAAGTATTTTGCTCCTTTGTAACTACGAAGCATTCTACTTCGTAATTACAAAGTGATGCTTTGCAATTACGAAGTTACACTTTGCAATTGCAAAGCGATGCTTTGCGGCGTTTTCATTGCTTCGCAATTGCAAAGCATCACTTTGTAATTGCAAAGTAAATGCTTCGTGGTTACAAAGGAGCAAAATACTTCGCAGCTCTGCAAAGCGAATGCTTTGTAGCAATTTAACAGTGTGGTGATCTCAGGCAATCATTGTTAATCAGTACTATTGGGTACTCTGATGAACACATCTATGTTGGTTTAGCACTCCTTCCGAAAATCTGATCGGAAGCCAGTTCAGTCGCCCTATAGAAATAACGCAAAAATACGCGAGGTCCGCTCGCACCATGGTTATCTCCCTACTGTAAAATAACATTGCATCGGTTACCTTCATCGCGACTCAAATGGGCGTTTACATGGGCCTACAGTGTAGGCCAAATCGCGTTTCAAAACCTTACCTGCTAAGAAGGGCAGGACATAGACACCACACAAAAAGCCGCCATGCAGAAGCAGCATGATCCTCACCGCTCCAGAGAGCTTTCAGTCCCGGGTGGGGCACAAGCACGTCCTCTGAAAACATGAAAGTATTACTTGCGTGCGTATGCGCCGCACAACGAAATAACGAGTCCACGCCCAGGTCCTAGTCTAGCGGCTCAAAGCGGTAACGTTACTTTAAGCAGCCGGTAGCAACTCCCTACGGCCGGGCTGACACACTGTCTCGGCCGCGCCGCTGGGCCGGGGCGGCGCCCGCGCGCGCTGCAGCTCTCTTTTCTATTTGTCATATCTCATCAGGTGGCAAAAGCGCCAAAATAAAAACTGTGAATGTCTCAGAAACATGTTACGACACGTTTGAAGTCCGTACGTACAATATTTCGCGAGTGACAAGTTTCTACGAAATATGGTGTTTCCGGGCGGGTCGTGCATTGCAAATTGGATCCATCGAGATCTCAGCAATCCTTCAACGTTTTGCAAATGTGAAAACTGATTTGGAATCTACAAGAACCAAAGCTTGGCGTAGACTAAGCCGTCAGACCGCTGAAAGAACAGAAATATTTTATTTTTCAATCTGAAAACAGAGGACGCTCTGGCGGCCATCTTGCCCACTTCAAGTTTATCGCATTCTCTCTTTTCGAGGTGAGTATAGAAAAATCGCACCCTGCTATTCTGATCTGGCATGATCTGTAGAACATTTGATTCACTGGTGGTTGGCGGGTTAAAAGCGTTTTTAACCTCGAAAAAAATGAAAATAGGGTGCCCTGTCACGTCTCCGGACCCCGTAGGTCGCGTTCAACTCGCATTTTAAAATGTTTCCGGTTCGATTTAGTGACTTTCATTTATATCATTAGATTCCTCGTTCTTTTCTCTTTCTAGCGCCATAAGGCGCTTTGTTAATAGGAGGTCTGGTGCAGGAGATATGACAAATAGAAAAGAGAGCTGCAGCGCGCGCGGGCGCCGCCCCGGCCCAGCGGCGCGGCCGAGACAGTGTGTCAGCCCGGCCGTAGGGAGTTGCTACCGGCTGCTTTAAGGTATTTAAACAAACACTATAGCTTCACTGTTACAAAAATTGTTGTAAAGTTACAGTGTGCACGTGTGAATGATTTTGTAAGCAGTACAGAGTTTTTTGTTTTTGTTTTTGTTTTCTTTGTTTTTTTTTACAAACATTCGGTCAAAAAACAACATTAAAGTTTCCGACAGAGAAAGCAGTTACTTAACTTTTGCTCATGTGAAAAAAAAAAAGTTGTAGTGCTCACACGGGTGTTTTAAAACATTTGTTTCAGGATTGCTATGGAACGAAATGTGTTGCTAACAAAATTAACTAGTATTTTCTTGTACCTGGCATATTCGGGTAGACCACTGTAGGCTGCAGCTGACCGTCGGATGGGAGGGCATTGGAAAGAATAAACTCGCGCACAACTAATGGATCCTCATTAGTCAGTACACTGTAAAGAGTAGAAATTTTCAAATCAACCTACGTCTTAAAGTTTGCAAGCACGTTTCTTCGAAACAGTGTTAGCGATTATGTTCACCAAACCTATTTATGGAAATTATTCACAGAAACGTACGAACTGACTTAAATACGGACAAAAATAACAGTTTTTCGATGAATTTAGAAATGTAAGTCAAGAGTTTCTCGGTATTTTCCGATATGTTTATAAAATTATGTTTGTTTCTAAACTTTGTGGGTTTTAATACGCTAAGATTTCATCCATATTATGGTTAATGGGTGTCTAGCACCGGGAAAAACCAGAATAACTGAAATCGCTATGCTTAAACAAAGTACTTCCGTTTTCTTGTTCCCTGCATTCTTCTGCATATCAGCTTTACCGGAATGCTGAATTGATCACACTGCTAAAGAATTTAGGGTCTTCGCATAACAAACTTGCCATGATTCTGTAGTGCAGATGTTCCCTCTTTTCTTTATAAATTTGAGTGAGTTTCGCGCTTTGACATTGCAAACGCGACTGTGGTGTTTAATTTTATGTATTCGAGTCGAGTGTACCTCAACTCCAGTTTCTTGACAAAATTTAATAGCAACACTTAGATACCTTAGACAAAAAGGCACGCAGGTCATCCGCCCGTTTCGAAAAGCACGCAGTTCAGGCTCGCGCTCACGTTTCGAAAAGACACGCAGTTCAGCCGCGCATTTCGAAAGGCACGCAGTTTACCGCTCTATAGCGAAAGGAACTGCGTGTCTTTCGAAACGCGCGGCTGAACTACGTGTCTCGACACGTGCGGATGAACTGCGTGCCTTTCGAAATGCGCGGATGAACTACGTTCCTTGTAGTCCAAGGTATCGACTTTTCTTGAGGCCGCTGCCTATTATATTTGAAAAATAAATTTATAATTTTTTCATGATCTGATAGGACCCCGTTCAACGAAAATGTTGTGTTTCAAAACCGACAATATGGAGATTTTCGGGCCGGGAAACTCCGGGAAAAGCCCGGGAAATCGTTTTCGTCGTCGTAGTAGACACCCTGAATTAAGATTTTTCTTTTAATTATTACTCCCACACTCTTACGGTGAATTTTGTGCTAACATATCATGGATCACAAATTATCCATAACATGGATAAAATTGTCCGTATTACAGACAATTTGATCCATATTACTGACATGCCTTCATCCGTAGGGTATGGACGAAAGGTCTATACCTTACGGAGGAGGGCACCTCTGTAATATGGATCAAATTGTCTGTAATACGGACAATTTTATCCATATTATGGATAATTTGTGATCCATAATATGTTAGCACAAAATTCTCCATAACATACGGATAGCACATCCATAGGGAAATTTTGTGATCCATAATATGTTAGCACAAAATTCACCGTAAGCGTGTCCATAAGGAAATGAGAGTGTAGGCTGAAAAAAAGAAAAAAGTTCGTGAAATGCCCCATTTTCCCCCAACCTGACCCTGTGGAGAATTCTGCGTAAGCCGAATACGGATCAGACATATAAACATTAAAGCATATTTTTTCCCCCCGAGCTGACCCTACGCGAGAGTTCGTAAGGGAATGAGTGCGTGATCAATCATAGGTGCGAACTGTCCTCACCTGCCCTTGAACAGCACCCCGTAAGCCCGGCGGCGGAACGCCAGGAGCGCCGTGGCGGAGCCGCAGTGTGGAGGGAGGGTTGGGTCTTCCAGCACGGGATTCAGCTCGATGACGCGGCGAAGCAGGAGTGTCAGCACCCAGGGCGACGCAAAGCGGAGGCCGCGGTGGCGAGCCAGTGCCAGCTCCAGAACTGCGTCACACGCAATACGGATAAGATCGCCTTTATATGGTGAACAATTTGATCCGTTACAAACATATGCCGCCATCCGTAGAGATGTGCACGTTATGCTTTCGCATAGCCGCATAATTTTCTAAACTTTACTGAAATGGGGTAAAGTGCCCTACACTCTAAATGGCAAGAGAAAATTTTGTCCGCAGATTCGGAACCGATTCGTGCACATCTAGAAAGGATGTGAGACTTTACACAATTTGTCTAGTTTTAGGAACAAATTTGCATCCTTTCTGGATGTGCACAAATCGGTTCCAAATCTACGGACAAAATTGTACCTTTACATTTAGAGTGTATGATGGCCACTTTAAGAGCACGCCCTCCCGCTTTCCTTGACAAGGGCTATGACCAGATTCTCATCAGTCCGGTTCGTTTCGTTTCCTTTCGATTCTATGGTGGGTGAGGGGGGGGAGGTGTGAAGAAAACCCCTTCTTCACCTCCCCTCACCCACAAAAGAAACGAAAGGAAACGAAACGAACCGGACTGATGAGAATTCGGACGGAGCCCAAGTCTCAACTATACGTCACAGCGGTACCAAAAAAATTCATGGGTGTAGAGGAAAGTTCAAAAAACATGCTTCTGTTCGAAAAAAAACGGAAAATAAAATTTATACATAGAGAAAAAATATCGAAAGAATCAGTTGATTTTGCCCATTGATGGCCACACTAATCCTATTGATGGCCACCCTCAAAACTACTGGGATTGGCGTTAGTGAGTCGTGGCAGGCCATCTGTGTGACGTAATGGCTCGAACAGCAGTTACTTTGGCGTCCTTCTCTGCATCCCGGTGAGCTTTTTATGCCACACGTGTACTCTAAAGCATGTTAAATTCAATATCGGTGCCCGTTCATAGTCTCATTAACCTGGGATCGCTATCGTCCATCCCATTAGGTCCTCAACGACGGACCCAGGTTGACCCTGGTGGTGTAAGGCGACACCAGCATTGAAATCAGAGTGCCTCAAAACCCGGTACGCAATTTATTGGATCCACACGACGACGTTCTGTGGCCCAATAATGGCCACCCCTTTCCCCCTTCTAAGTTAGTTAAAACGAAAAATTTTTATGCGTAGAATTGAAGCCCAACCTTTCCAGGTTTAGCAGATATCCTTGCCATCAAGCGCCGGTTCGTACATGCCAAACGCGAACGCTCCCAAAGGAACGCTCTGGTAAAGACATCACTTTAGAGAACTACCAGCCGGGCGGACAGAGCAGAGTTTGGTATAATGCTGGCGCTCGTTTGGAGCGCGGCTGAATCTCGACCTGAGCAGGATCGTGATGCTAATCAGTAACATAGTGTTGGCCTTGCAGCACCCACTTCACGACTTCTACGCTTCGTACTGTCAGTTGGTCGAACCGAATGTATTTATCTCGGTTTTAGGCCAGCGGAACTTGACCTGCACAGTTTGACGTGCGTTCGAAACGAAGAAATCAATGTATGTGATTTCTGGAATGGTTTACGTACGTATGTAGACAGGGGAGGGGGGGGGGGGGGGGGGGGGGGGGGTGTCGTACGGGAGATGTGAAAAGTTAACTATACCTTCGGGTTCCTCCTGAAAAAAGAAAACGAAAATGTTTTTTTGTTTAGTCCTAAGCAAGTCCATGACTATGGTAAAATTCAGTTGTGTGTCTAACAAACGTTTTGAAATGTCCTATTGAGACATTAGATGACTTACAAGCATATGCACACGTGAACACTGTTCTATTTGAAATTTGAAAACTTCGGTTTTTTTTTTTCAAAAGTTACAAAATTTAACGTTTAGTGCCATATTTGGATTCCTCTTTACAAATTGAATAGAAAATGTCCTGTGCTTAAAGCCGATCAGTATCGAAATTGCAAAATTAATACACTCCAAAGGGGTAAAAGTGTGCAAAAACGAGCTAATAATCAATTAGTGGGGGCATAACTCTGAAATTTCTATTCCGATCATCTCCTCCGTCTACTTACGTAAACCATTCCAGAAATCAGATACATTGATTTCTTCGCTTCGGACGCACGTCAAATTGTGCAGGCCAAGTTCCGCAGGCCTCAAGCTAAGATAAATACAATGGGTTCGACCAACGGACAGAGCGATCACTTCTTAAGAAGCGTAGAAGTCGTGAGGTGGGCGCTGCAGCAGCTGCCCAGAGTGCCGCGACCACTTTCAGAGTCTTGGATTGGTGCCTTGAATTCCAAGACATGCGTTCAGGTGGCTCGATAGTCTACCACAGACTCTACGATGTCTCAAACACGTCTCCACAAAACCTATATATACTATTGCACGCGAGGACATCCTGAGGCGAAACATTTAAGTACGGGCTGTTTTGTTGACTGGTCACAACTTCCTTCTCCGTGCAGGTGGCGTCCCCTCATAGTCAGAGCTTTGGTTAACGATACAACTAGGGACAGAAATCGTCCCAGAGATCGACGTACCTTCCGAGTCCACGGAATTACACTTGTCATTCGAGCTCACGGGCGACGCTTTGGGAGCAGGCGACTCATCCGACGCTGGCGGTGTGTAGTCATGGCCCCGCAAACTGGCCTCGAGCTGGACACGAAGCGACTCGCGCAGCGCCCAGCGGTCCGCAAACTTGAGCTCCCGGGAAAAGCGGTTCAACGTCTCTTTGGGATACGAGGCCAGAGCCCTGCAGACCGAAAAAAGTTCATCCTGGATCACAAAACGCATTTCACCCACTCTCATTTCCTTATAGACACACGCTTACGGAGAATTTTGTGCTAACGTATTATGGATCCCAAATTATCCATAGTATGGATAAAATTGTCAGTATTACAGACAATTTGATCCATATTACAGACATGCCTTCATCCGTAAGGTATGCACGAAAGGTCTGACAATTTTAAGCACACACGGGTAATTTGGGATCCATAATACGTTCGCACAAAATTCTCCATAACATACGGATAGCACGTCCATAGGGAAAGAAGAGTGAATTTTTGGAGCGTAGCACGAATTGCAGATAATGTGACTATCCAATGTTACAATCCGTGTTACTAGACAAACGCATGTTTTGACGATCTGTCAACTCAAATGTCTACATTGTCTACAATAAGAACACTCTCAGACCCATTCTGGTTAAAATCACGCACTCTTATTTCCCTATAGGAATGTGCTATTCGCATGTTTTTGAGAGTTGTGTGCAAACGTATTATGGATTACAAATTATACATACTATGGATCAAATTGTCCGTAATGTGGACAGTTTCATCCATATTATGGACGGCTTAAAATTGACAATACGTTTGCACAAAATTCTCCGTAAGCGAGTCACAATTAAACTATTCTTGAACACTTTCCCGCTGCACGGTAGACATTTTTTAACGCATTGCGCGCAGTGGGTAAACGATGCCGTATGACAACGGGAAAAACGGCCTTGGACTGCGCAAAATATTTAAAAAAAACAACAACAAAAAAGCACTATTACGGGTAGCCTATATCCACGAGGCAATAAGTGTGTACTGTTAAGGGTTCAAAACAAGAATAAGGGTGCGCGCGCATAAGTACACGTTTTACCTGGTGATCACGATCTCCGCTGCTTCCTCAACAGACTTCCCCCACAAATCCTTGCGAACCAGCTCACCAAGCTTTTGAACGACTTTCTCGACGCGAAAATAGAGTTTGGGACTGAGTGATTCCTTGCGGCCGCCGGACGCTATTAGGTGCAGAGGCTGCGGGAATGAAAAATTCACTAATTAGACAAATATAGAGCCTTTTAAAACGAAGGCACGAAGGAACAAAAATAATCAGACTACTGATCCATGTATTCCATGTATTCCGACGCGTAATAAACTGTATTTCTTTTTCTTACAAAGATAAGATTTAAGCATCCTACAGGGCCAGGCTGCCGGCACCGTTAGGGGCTGTTCACAAATTAAGTCACGCATCTGAGGGGGGAAGGGGTCGCTGCCCACTTGACGGTCCTATTTTATTACAGATAAAATGTGATCCACATTACGGTTCCACAAATTATCCGTAAGCAAGTCCGTAAGGAAATGAGAGTGTACGGAGAATTTTGTGCCAACGTATTATGGATTACAAATTATCCATAATATGGATAAAATTGTCCGTATTACAGACAATTTGATCCATATTACAGACATGCCTTCATCCATGAGGTATATACCTTACGGAGGAGGGCATGTCCGTAAAATGGATCAAATTGTCTGTATTACGGACAATTTTATCCATATTATGGATAATTTGTAATCCATAATACGTTAGCACAAAATTCTCCATAACATACAGATAGCAAATCCATAAATGAGAGTGAGTGTAGTGGCGGTTGGTGACGGGTTGAAGGCCACAATGGTCAGCCGCGTGACGTTGGGGGGGGGGGGGGGGGGGGGGGGGGGGGGGGGGGTTGGAGTCAGAACCGCCTGAAATTTTCGTGACGTAATTTGTGAATGACCCCTAGTACACTGTATATCGTCGTGAAGGTAGGCGACAAAGTCACCTAGCCCGCGACGCAAAAGTAGACAATTTATGTCGACTACACTGTTAAAAATGTTTTGAAATTTCAAACCCAACATTAACTGAATTTTCAAAATTGTAATGAAATTTCATGTTTGAACTGAAAATTCAGAATTGTTTTGATATTTTAAGACGATGTTATGAAAATTTAGAACTGGATAATGAAATGTCAGTATTCGTATTGAAGATTCAGAACTAGGTAATGAAATGTCAGTATGGGCTGAAGACTCAGAGCTGCGTAATGAAATGTCAGTATGCTTCTGAAAATTCAGAGCTGCGTAATGAAACTTCAGTTTGGTACTGAAGATTCAGAGCAGGATGATAAAATTCGAATAGCATTAATTAAGTTATGTACATCCCTGTGGCCTCTGGTATCATAGAAAATCAAGAACATTAATATTATCGCAAGCGGAAAAGCTATATAACCATAGTTATTTTCGCAACAACACGGAGAAAAATACTTTGGTTGCTGTCACTAAAATGGTGTTCTATCTGCCCCCTTAGTCATAACCATAGAACGTTCTATCGTGCTGGCTGGAGTGTTTGGTTGGAGCGTCTAAACGCTCAGTCAGCACGATAGAACGTTCTATGGTTATGACTAAGGGGGCAGATAGAACACCATTTTAGTGACAGCAACCAAATTTTTTCGGCCGTGGTGACCAAACATTTTTCTCAGTGAACGATTACCCTGCACCGATACTGTCGCGGTCAAGCGCACTTCCACTATTTGCCACCAGATGGCGCATCGTTTGTTAAACTGATACTTTTCTTTTACGTGTCAAATATCTATTAAATTTCTTAAATTTCCTATCCGAACTATTGATGGTCTGATAGAGCAGCGTCTCTCCGATGTACCTGCACATTTGTTTTTCATTTTTTGTCAATATTCCATATTTTGCATGAGTTTTAAATTGGCTCCTCGCTGAGCACTCATAACGCGAGCACATCCACCCTCCGGCGCCCAGCTCCCCGTATTTGTGTGCCACCTGCACTGCATCTGCACGGGTGAGAGGCACATTCAATTTTTAAAATCTTGCAGATGAGTGGCATCGGTTCAAGTGCTCCCGAAATCACGATCGCAAGGACTCGAACAAAAGTCAAAATATGCGAGGTTAAATTTCACTGGGTATTTCATTACACATATTATGAAATTTCAGTGCAGGTCCTGAATTATGCAAACAATATCGTACTTATATTTCATTACTAGCTTTTGATTTTTCATTACGCAAATCTTAAATTTCAAAACTTGTTGTCCTGAAATTTCATTACCATTTCATGTAATGTGATTTCAAAACCAAAAAGTGATAGGAATTACAGTACCAAAAACTGAAATTTCAACCTGAATTTTCTAACAGTGTATCTCCTGGACACCTCGCCTACCTGCTGGACAACCCGGATTAACAGTGTAGGCAAAAGGGTTGTTAGGCTATCCCCGCGGCCCCCAGGGGAGCGAGGGTGGCAGAAGGGTAGCCAACTCGCATAAACTCCGTACACGGGACCCTTAATCCCTTCATAGTACTTCAGAATACCCCTTAATTTTGGACAAAATACCCAGACACTTCACAATACTTTCATATCACTCCGCAGTATTTCAAAGTACCACAGAATGGGGAAAATGCCTCAAAGTGCCATAATACTCCGTACACTGCTACGATTAGTTGGTGACCCCTAAGGTGGCGGCAGAGCAGAGTAAACATGCAAGTGCAAAGCAGGAGAAGCGGCTGACTTTATTGTAAGGGAAGCATACTGTTGCCCAGCAAACACTCAAATTTCCTTACGGACTCGCTTACAGAGAATTTTGTGAAACGTACTATGGATCACAAACCATCCATAATACGGAAAAAATAGTCCTTATTACAGACAATTTGAGTCATATGACAGACATGCTTCCCTCCGTAAGGTCGTCCATACCTTACGGATAAGGTCATGTCTGCCATATGGATCAAATTGTCTATAATACGGACATTTTATCCATATTATCGATGATTTGTGATCCGTAAGACGTTTACTCAAAATTCACTGAAACATTCGGATAGCACCAAAAGGTAATGAGTGAAAGAGGTCAAATATTAAGTCAATAAAAGGTCTATAGTTGTCATTAGAGTAATGGCTTGAATTGAATGCTAAAAATTTTTAGCAAGCAAGGCGACCGCGACGAATAGAGTGGTCCCTGACATAAAGTCCATTCTGCAGATAGGACCGAGGGGGTTTTCACTCGACATTTCGTTGTACACGGTATTTCGTAATACGTGTATTTTGCCGGTATTTCGCCGGTATTTCTCAGGAAAAGTTCACCGTTTTGGAGCATATTTCGGCATATTTTGGTGTATTTCATGCGAAATACCTGTGAAATACCTCATTTGGTGTACACGGTATTTCAGAAGTGAAAACCCCCTCGGATAGGACTTGAAAAGAATAGGTTCGAATTGCAAACAATTTTCTTTTCGGCTTCCAAGAAATTCTGTAGCATTGCAATACGAACTAGTTCTTCGCAAGCATTCCTTTGCAATGCACACACATTGCTGGCTAGGATTTTGACAGGCTGCAAAGACATTCAATGCATCACGCAATTATTTGCAACACAAATCTATCGCAAATTCTTGCCGTTGCAAATGATATGATTTGAAAGCATTTTACACTGCAACAACAGGAGTAGACTCACAATAAGGTAGGGGGCGGGCACGCAGCCGTTGGGCAGGAGTGCGAGCAGCAGCGGCAGCTGTTGGCGGTGCCTCAGCCCCAGTGCGCGGGCGATCGCATCCCGGTCGAAGAGCACCGTCGTCATGGCCTGCTCGTCCAAGTGGCCCAGAGACAAGTAGTGCAGCGCGCCCTCCATGGCCACGTAGTCCGTGTCGCGCGACAGGATGCAGAAGCACGACTCGCGCCGTGCAAACCGGGCCACCTCCACGTCGAACTCGTCCACAGTGAGGCGTACCTGAGAGTAGACCAGATTTACGGACTCGCTCACGGAGCGAACATGCCTTCATCCGTAAGGTAATGGACAAAAATATTTTTTTTCACCGTCCACTGTTAACTGGTTGGCGTCTTTTAACGCCAAAATATCTGTTTGCACAGCAAAGTACTCTCACTCTCATTTTCTTTACGGACTCGCTTGCGGAGAATTTTGTGCAAACGTAATACAGAATACAGATCACAAGTCATCCCTACGAATTGAATTGTCTGTACTGTAGACAATTTGACGAAGTTCTCCGTAAGCTTGTCCGTACGAATATTAGAGTGTGAGATTTTCTTTACAAAATCTCTTAATTTCTTTCATTAGACGTTTAATTTTTAACCATTGTTCTGCGAGTATTTGCATGTTTAGTCCGGTTTTTTTCCAGAAAAAATTCAGACTGGAATTCCTAAGCATACCTCACCTCAAATCCTGCCATTTTGAGCGCCAGTAAGGCGCAGTCGTGGGTGCCGGGGGGAAGCAGGTTGCCATGCCCAGCCGTTTGGTGAGCGGGCTGGTCACGAACCGTCAGAACGCGCCGGCCACGGACAGCACCCCGCCCTCGGGGCGCAAAGCAACCACGGCCGCGGCCACCACCGCTCCCAGGTTGGACCTGATGAGAGGGTGCCGACCCCAGCAACGGCTCGCAGTCAGCAGAGTCAAGGCGGAGGCCAGAAACGGCAACCTCCAGAACTGCGCCCTATAAGAAGAAGCACGAGGCTAAGAAGGAGTATCGATAACTAGGAAGCAGACGATATACTGTTTAATTCCTGCAAAGTATTTAGCTCCTTTAAGAAGTATTTATTTCGCAATTACAAAGTGATGCTTTGCAATAACGAAGTGACACTTTGCAATTGCAAAGCGATGCTTCGCAGCGTTTTTATGGCTTTGCAATTCCAAAGCTTTACTTTGTAATTGCAAAGTAAATGCCTCGTAGTTACACTGGAAATGCAAGTGTGTGAATGTCTTGCATTTGCAGTGTACGAAGGAGCAAAATACTTCGTAGCTCTGCAAAGCAAATGCTTTGTAGGAATTTAACAGTGTACATCTTCCACAAAGCAAAATACAAAAATAGAAGGCTCAAAACAAAACTTTTAACTTAAGATTTACTTTCGTTACCACCGGCTTAATTTTTTTTTTCATGAGGCTCCGATTAGCATCGGAACGTGAGAGTATCTATGGTGCGAAATAATGCGTGTTACGTTTGTGTAAGGAAATGACAGTGAAATAATCCATTTTAAATTAGGCTACTGACAGTAGTTTCCTTTTCTCACACTGTTAAATTCTTGCAAAGTATTTTGCCCCTTTGTAACTACGAAGCATTTCCTTCGCAATTACAGAGTGATGCTTTGAATTTACGAAGTAACGCTTTCAGGGTTGTTACAGAGTTGGGATTTTCAAATTCCCTGACTTTTCCATGACTTTTCCCTGACCAAACTGGAGGTTTTCCATGACTTTCATCCAAAAAAATATTTTTTAAGTTATAAGTTCAACTCTTGTTACGGCCCTGTTCATTTAGAGGGTGGGCACTTTCCGGTTTTTCCCGGCCCTAAAGATGACGTTGTAGCTCGAATTTTGCCTTTACACAAGGCCCCTTGCCTATGTTGGCAACTAGCGGGAAACACAGTACCTTTGAATCGCATGAGGGGTTTGCTGGCCACTTTCGGTTGACGCTACCGACTAGAAATATAAAGGGGCTAAGTGCGAGCGAAGCGAGCACGAAAATTTTTCAAATGTTAACCCAGCTGAGCGATTTAAAATGCGCCCTAGATCACCCAGTCGCTTAGGGAACGGTGCCACCTCCAATGTGGCGACCAAACTTCTACACATATGAAAAGGATTCAAAAATTTTAGCCAGCAAATGTGAGTGCAGAGTTTGAGCGCTGTACATTTGTTTTGATATTCTCGATGAAAGTGTGTGCACCTATGGTTATACGAAAGAAGCGAGCGAAAAAACAAAAAGGATTTAAAAAAATAAATTGACCCATTGTAAAGGACCGCGGGAGCTTAGCACGCTATCAAATTTTGCAATTTTCTAATTTTTCATAATTTTCATGACTCGACGATTGATTTCCCTGACTTTTCCATGACTTCCATGACTCGATTTTTTTTCCCTGACTTTTCCATGACTTCCAGGTTTTCCATGACTTCCAACAACCCTGCGCTTTGCAATTGCAAAGCAATGCTTTGCAGCGTTTTCATAGCTTCGCAATTACAAGAGCACCACTTTGTAATTGCAAAGTAAATGATTCGTAGTTACAAAGGAGCAAAATACTTCGCAGCTCTGCAAAGCGAATGCTTTGTGGGAATTTAACAGTGCACACTCTCAGCTCACACTACACATCCTAAGTACTTGCTCACAAAATAATTAGTATTACTTACTAAATTTGTGAGTATTACGTGCAATTTTGTGAGTATTACTACTGCTGTATAAGCAAGTTCATTGTGTATTTGCAAAATGTCAGTAACGGGCTGAGAGTGCAGTGAGTAGAGTACTGACAAAAAAACATAAACGATAAGTAACTAACTAGTCAGTAATCCTGCTGCGTAAAAATGTAAATATTTACTATGAAATAAAAGAGCGCAGGTCTAAGTGAAGACTGTTGAATGATTGAAATTGATTTAAAATGACTGAAGTAATTATTGAAATAGATTCAAAATGATTGGAATTTATTGAAAATGATTTAAAACGATGAGGGCCCACACTGCGAAAAAATTTGTTGGCACCAGGCACTAAAAGTTTAGTCCCCAGGGTGGAAGTTTTTTCCTTACTTTAGTGATTAGGATATCAATGATTTAATTTAATTTAAACTTTCAATGGTTGTAAACGTTTTTAAAAATTAAAAATAATTGAAATTTTGAATCGTTCGAGAAGTGTACAGTGATTCCTGCAAGCTAGCTGGACCCAACGTGGTTATTGCACCACGTTTAGCCTAATTTCCTGGCAATTTCTCTGATGTTCCTGAATTTTCAGAACCCTGGCAATTTCCTGACGCATGGCAACCCTGTGAAAATTTGAATAGGTCCACACTAAACCTAAAAGTAACATTTAATGTCCATAGAGAGATGCATGGTTGTTCATATCTCAACAAGATTTGAATTCAACAAGTGACGAAATAGCTGGACAAAGTCTTTTCTAGCCCGCTCTTCTGCTTTAGAAAAGCTGTCTAGCGGGCTTATGCAAACGACCTCGTGTCTGTCTGTGCCTGTCTGTCTGTTCCACTAGCAAGAGATGTGTTAGAGACTTTTTCTGATCCTCAGGGGGTAACTCGTCAAAAATTGCTGTAAAATTGCTGTAAAGAACAATTAGTTGTAGAAGAAGGCCTAAAAACCGCAAAAGAAGAAAAAAACTGCCCCACCCCACCCCAAAAAACGTTTTCTAAGCAGAAGGGTAGGTTGTAGTCGCGGTGCTTCACCGTTGCATCGTGTCTATGGGGCAAATTTTAAGGACGACGGGTTTTTGCGGGCCGAAGGCGAGTTACAACATTTGATTATGTTCATCATTATCACCATCGCCGCCGGCAGGCCAAGCAGGCCCGGCGGGCCCTGCCGAACGGAGTTGCCTGCGGAGCGAAGCGGAGCTAGCAATTCCGTTAGGCGGAAGGGCGGGCCTGCTTGTTTATCATTAAGATGTAAATTCCTGACTTGCTATCTGTATCCGGTTGAGATGTGCACAAAACCGCAGCTTTTTACGGACAATCAAAGTCCTGTCAGATTAAGTGTGTCGACAATCTTCGTTGTACAGCAGTAACACGAACAAATTTTGTAAGTAATACGAGTAATGTCATGTCGCAAGTTAGTCATGTTATATCAACGAAGACTAAAAGTGTTTGAAGACTAAGAAATTTATCAACGATATTCACAAATTTTGTTCATTACACTCTCATTTCCTTATGGACACGCTTACGGTGAATTTTGTGCTAACATATTATGGATCACAAATTATCCATAATATGGATAAAATTGTCCGTATTACAGACAATTTGATCCATTTTACAGACAGACATGCCTTCATCCGTAGGGTATGGACGAAAGGTCTATACCTTACAGAGGAGGGCATGTCTGTAATATGGATCAAATTGTCTGTAATACGAACAATTTTATCCATATTATGGATAATTTGTGATCCATAATATGTTAGCACAAAATTCTCCATAACATACGGATAGCACATCCATAGGGAAATGAGAGTGTACTGCAGGGGCGTAGGAAGTGCCCGGCGATGGGGGTTTCAATTTTTTTGGTGGTCATAACAAAGTTGCGTCATCTGTTACAATGCCAGATTGTATCTGCCCAAGCCCAAAGCGACAAACAATTAGTGAAATTTCCTCTACAAGACATAACGGCGGTTAGTACTGCTCGAATTGGGACGCCACGCCGAAATCGTGGACTCGCCTTACGGCGTGTGCGGGGGTATTTTATGGTTTCTGCGCAACCGCCGCCAAATAGGGGTTGCGGCCCGCACCGCACCACCTGCACCCCACTTGGTACGCCCCTGAATTACTGCTGTACAAAGAAGTTCGTTCCACACTTGGCAAAGTCGGTAATGAGCTGAGTGTACCGTGCGATCATGTACACCTCAGTTGTATTAACTTTACACTTTGTGTAGTACATGGGTCGACATGGGTGCAACTTCTTTTTTAGTGTACAGCGTAACTCTCACATGTGACACTGTGAAAAATAGTGGGTAGGTTTACAGGAAAATTTCCCTTGACGCAAGTTGTAAAGTCACAGTTTTAAATCGTAAAAATACATGGAGTAGGTACGTATCGATTTAAAATCTATCGGCAAGTAAAAAAATTTCCTCTCGTAAATTTACAACTTCAATTATAATTCGAGTTTCGAAAATTTATGTAGATTAACGACGATATTTTTCACAGTGTGACAGGAAAACTACTCCTTAAATAGGTCACGGTGCAAGGCTCACCTGGTCATGTTCACCTTCGGCCTCGGCGCTGGGCCTCACGTCCCCTAAGGACTTCTCCGGCCGGCCCTCCTGGTTCACGTTCTCTCGCTGGTTCTTGCAGCAGTTGGTTGTTTGATCCGATTTCTTCTGCCGCTGGATTGTCACCGCTTCGTTAACCTCAGGCTGGGGTTTTGTCACCGCTTCGTTCGCCTCAGGCTGGGGTTCTGTCACCGCATCGTTCACCTCAGGCTGGGGTTCCGTCACAACTTCGTTAAGCTCAAGCTGAGGTTCCGTCACCACTTCGTTAACCTCAGGCTGGGGTTCCGTCACCACTTGACTCACTTCAGGCTGGGGTTCCGTCACCACTTCGTTGACCTCGGGCTGGGGTTCCGTCACCACTTCGTTGACCTCGGGCTGGGGTTCCGTCACCACAACGTTCACCTCAGGCTGGGGTTCCGTCACCACTTCGCTCACCTCAGGCTGGGGTTCCGTCACCACTTGGCTATCTCCTGCCCGCTGGGCCGTATCCTGCAGGCGCGCGTACACCGCCACCGCCCGGGCGTGCTCCTTCCGCTTCCTCTCACTCCACGTGCTCAGGCGGCCCTTGCTAGGCACGCCCTTGAAGAAGAAGACCGGAGCAGCACCGACACCTGCATTAACAGACCAATGCCAATGCACAGATTCAAAACTACCCTTATAAAAAGGCAGCGCACGGGTTCCCATTCCAAAGTTATCTCGACTGACCTTGAAGACGGCGCGCGAAGGCAACAATTCCCTCGGCGAATTCCTTAAACTGCCCACCCAGGAGCAAGTCAAGTCGTCCCATCACGTGATACGTCAGCATACCGCCGTCCACTACGGCCACAGCCTCCGACCGCCCCGTCTTCTCCCTGTTCAAGTGAATGAAGGAAACGGCGGCCCAGAGATGAGAAACGTTCACGATCCGGTCCCACTTTCCGGGCCCGGGCCCGGGACCGCTCTTGACCGGGTTTTATGGTTGGCCGGCCAAATCGGCGTAGCTATAGTCCCGGTCCGAGTCCGGGCCCAAGCTCGATCCGGTCCCGGAACGGACCACGGCGCGACAATAAAGGGTGTATCAAAGAAAATAAGGTCAAAAGTCAGAAAAAAAAAATTACATTATGATCACGTAGTAGTACCTCGTCAAGGTAGAGCCCTGAGCCGTTCGGACGAAAATTTGGTCCGTTTGGCACTAGGGTCATTTTTGACGAAAATAAGCTCAAAATTGCTGTAGTAAACAATTAATTGTAGAAGAAGGCCTAACAAGCAGGCCCGCCCTTCCGCCAAACGGAATTGCCAGCTCCGCTACGCTCCGCCGGCAACTCCGTGCGGCAGGGGCTAGGCCGGGCTTGGCCGGGCTAGGCCTGCTTAGCCTGCCGGCGGCGATGGTCGGGCCTACGGCCGGACCATTTCTGTCTCGCGATTTAAGGAAGTGCATAAGCAAATGAATAATGTGACCGGTAAATCCACTGAATCTGGATCTATGGTCGTCTATAATACTTTAATCACAAAAGTTTGCGATGACTCAATTTTGTGATTCCTCTGATTTATCGCTTTTATAGACATGATAACTTTTTATCACAAAAGAACATGAAATGAAAAGAATAAGGGCAAGTTATCACAAAAATAATATGATACTATTTTATCGCAAAGTTTAGTGTAAAACGGGAGCTAGTATTTCCGTTTATCACAAAAACTTGCGATAGTAAGTTATCACATTATTTTTGTGATAACTTTCCCATATACTTTTTATTGCATGTTTTTTTATGCGATAAAAAGTTATGAAGGAATCTCAAACAAGCAGGCCCGCCCTTCCGCCAAACGAAGTTGCCAGCTCCGCTCCGCTCCGCCGGCAACTCCGTTATCGGCAAGGGCCGGGCCTGCTTGGCCTGCCGGCGGCGATGGTCGGGCCTGCGGCCCGACCATTTCTGTCACGCGATTTGCTGAAGAACATGATCGAGTGATGTAGCGGGCCTACGGCCCGCTTAAACCCGTCATCTTTGAGTTTGCCCCAAAGCCTCGAGAAATGGATGTAACGGTGAAGCACCGCGACCACAACCCACCCTGCTTCTAAGAAAACTTTTTTGGGGGTGGGGGGAGAGTTTTGTTTCTATTTTGCGGTTTTTAGGCCTTTTTCTACATCTTATTGTTCACTAAGGCAATTTTTAGCTTATTTTCGTCTAAAAAGACCCTCTAGCGCGTAAACGGTTAGAGATAGCGCAAAACGGGCGAAATTTTTGCCCGTAGGACTCTACTTTCACAAGTAACCCCTCAGGAGATCATAAAAAAAATATTTTTTCCAACTTTTTTTTGCCTTTCCTGTTTTCTTCGATACCCCCTTTAGCCCATTAGGGGTGGCTGACAGGATTTGCCGTAGGCGTTTTGTTTTGTGGGAGTGAACCTTGAGATCCCCTCAAAATTTGAAGTCTCTCTCGCGTGGAAACGTATGGTATCAGTTTGTCAGCAGTTTGTCATCTCGCCAATGACAAACGGAAGACAAACTGATGACAATCCGATGATGAAATTTGATGACATACTGATGACAAGCTCATGACAAACTGATGTCAAACGCAAATCGGCGTTCCGTCATCAATATGTCATCAGTATGTCAGCAGTTTATCAACCGTTTGTCTTCGACGGATTACAAACGGATTACAAACGGATGACAACCCGTTCACATACTGGCCGCTTTCGACGCTGGAGAATGCTGCGACCGAAAATGCTGGACACGAAATGTCCTAGTCTATAAGAGCCTATACAATGTAGAAGGTGTGCTGTGGACTGTTCATAAGGGCGTCGAAGGTTGCTGCATGTGTCCCCCGCGTCAACTTTTTGCTCTGAGCACGATGGTGGTGTTAAATTTCCTCTAGCTATAGCCGTTCAAAAGTTACTTTTCGGATTTTTTTTTGTTTCCAAATTCAACAGAGTATGTTATCCTGACGCATCTCACTAACCCGTTTCGCTCTGCGGCGCTTAGTTTAGGCTTGAAAGGGAATTGCGGTGTTTCGTACGGTGAGGCTGGAGCCAGTGTGTCAGCGATTTGTCCTCCGTTTGTAATCCGTTGACGACCAACGGTTGATAAACAGATGCAATACTGATGACATATTGATGACGGAACGCCGATTTGCGTTTGACATCAATTTGTGATCAGTTTGTTATCAGTACGTCATCAAATTTCATCATCGGATCGTCATCAGTTTGTCATCCGTTTGTCATCGACGAGATGACAAACTGTTGACTAACTGATACCATACGTTTCCACGCGGGCTAGCACATCTCCTTCTTGTGGAACAGACAGACAGACACACAGACAGACAGACACGAGGTCGTTTGCATAAGCCCGCTGGATAGCTTTTTCAAAGCAGAAGGGCGGGCTAAAAACGAGTTATGGCAGAAATGAGGGTTAGTTTATCACAAATCCAAATTCGGTGTCACTTTGCATATTTAAGGGGGGATCCTAGTGTAGCGGCTCAAAAACAATGCTTATTTTGCGAATTTTGTATTTTAAATACTGTAGCTCGTATCGAAAATTTGAGAACACGGTTTAATAGATGGCACTTTAATGCAAAAAATGCAAAAACAAGCGTCTCAGTATCTTCAAAGGTGTGGCGACACGGCCTGCTACAAGGGAGCATGTAGTTTCATGCTGGCCGTACACTTTCCCACGGACTGGTGCGTCTAAAACAGTCGTACGAAACGGCGTTTTGTTCGGGGGGAACCTGGCTATGGTCGGTACTAGAAGATCTGGGATCGGAGGTGCCCTTCATATTAAAAATAAATTAAAACATTGAAAATTTTTACCTCAACTTCAGTACTAAAAGTTTGACTTACTCAAAAAAATACTAAAAATAATTTCATCGTAAAGATCCTAGTACCGACCATAGCCAGGTTCCTCCTGAACAAAACACCGTTTCGTACGACTGTTTTAGACGCACCAGTCCGTGGGAAAGTGTACGGCCAGCATAGCGCCACACCTGTGACACGCCATCTTCCACCAGGGCGTGTCGCCGCAATTAGTTTTTTTAAAAGTAATTCCTAAAATTACCCCTGTTTTTGAGACGCTACACTAGGATCCCCCCTTAAGGCATCCGGCGGGGGGCCTGCGGCACTAGAAATTTGCTCCTTGGACATGACAAAAGACTGTAACGGGGCAACACCGTGACTACACCCCACCCTTCTGCTTTGCTAACAAAAAAATTAACCGACGCAGTTTCTAGATTGTATATTGTTTGTTAAACAGTCTTAAAACTTGACTTTTTGCCATTGTTTTCAATATATATCCACCTCTAGGGCCGAAACTGTGAAAGATACGGCGAATCCAAGGGTAGTTCCTGATTCAGAATGTGCTGTTTAGGAGGAGTACTTTCTCTGACATTTTACGATTGGACGCTTTATGTGCAACGTGGTCATTTTCGCCGTATTTCGTCGAAAAAAGCACTCTAGCGCCCAAACGGTGCAAGATAGAGTCAAACGGACGAAATTTTCGCCCAAAGGGTTCTTTTTTGACGAGTTGCCCCTTAAAATACAATAAAAAAAATATTCTTTCCCTACTTTACGGGCCAAACCCTATTTCTTTGTTACTCCCTTTCACCCCCTTAGGGGTGGTTGACAGGATTTGCACCAGGCGTTTCGTTGTCCAGGAGTGACCCGTAAGATACCCTGAAATTTGTAGACCTCTAGCTCATCTCCTTCCTCTTACACGACACGGACGACGGACGGACGGACGGACTGACGGACGGACGGACGGACGGCCACGAGAGCGGTTGCATAAGCCCGCTTTAATGCTGAAATTTTCGCCCAAGGGCTCTACTTTGACAAGCCCTTAGGAGATCATAAATAAAAATATTTTTCTCCGACTTTTTGACCTGCTTCATTTTCTTTGATACCCCCTTTTAGCCCCTGAGAGGTGGTTGCCAGGATTTTTGCCGTAGGCGTTTTGTTTTCTAGGTGTGAACCTTAACATACCCTGAAAATTTGATTTCTCTTCACATCTCCTTCTAGTGGAACAGACAGACAGACACACAAAAAGACAGACACGAGGTCGTTTCCATAAGCCCGCTAGATAGCTTTTCTAAAGCAGAAGGGCGTGCTACAAACCGGAAAATAATTAAGAAACTCCACGCCCCCCCCCCAAAAAAAAAAAGCGTTTTCTAAGCAGAAGGGTGGGTTGTAGTCGCGGTGCTTCCCCGTTCCATCACTTTCTCGTGTCTACGGGGCAAATTTTAAGGACGACGGGTTTTAGCGGGCCCGTTACATCATTAGAATATGTTCTTCAGCAAATCGCGAGATAGATATCGCCGCCGGCAGGCCAAGCAGGCCTGGCCCCTGCCGAACCGAACGGACTTGCCGGCGGAGAGAAGCGGAGCTGGCAACTCCGTTTGGAGGAAGGGCGGGCCTGCTGGTTGAACTGTCGTACACACCTCCTCGACACGCATAGTAAAGAGGTTTAGCTATTGATCGGCCAATCTGCCCGCTCGAAAGTACTATAGGGGGTGTTGAACGGTGGAGGAAGGGCGGGCCTGCTTGTGTCGTATACACCTCCTCGACACGCATAGTAAAGAGGTTTAGCTATTGATCGGCCAATCTGCCCGCTCGAAAGTACTATAGGGGGTGTTGAACGGTTAACTCGAGTCGCAAGAAAAAAGTGTTCTGACTGACGTATGACTTACTTGTACTCCTTCACGAGGTCTGCGATGCTCACGGTAGGACAGGCGTCATGGTGCGTCAGCAGGTACCTCTCAAGTCCTTGAATGCCCATTGCAGCTGCAGATCTCCAGGGCGAAGATCAGGTGTGTCTTCACACAAGCTAAACACAATATATAGTAGCTTAAAATAATTTTCAAATAAAGGTTGGAAGGATCTACATGCAAACTGTAGCCAAACTCTTATAGGGTTACTGCTGTTTCTAGTATTTTCGACAGTATACCCGTTAAAAAATCTTCATGGGCTACTGACACCTATTGTACAGTATGTATTACGCCAGCAGGGTGACAAATTGAATCGCTAATAACTCCAGTTCGATTTTGTTGTGTGGGTTAAAACCAGGGACCTGCGTACAGCATGTATATTGTGAAACTTCATTAGGCACTGGTCACCTTTTTCATGCGCGCACGGCGAGTTACCCGGATAGTGCCCACCCTACGCAGGTCCCTGGTTAAAACCCAAAACAATAAACTCCATTTTGTGACTAGACGAGCTTGGTCTTAACCTCGAAGGTCTATTTGGGGTCCAGTTAAAGAAGGTCAAAAATCAAAGAAGGTCATGGTGAAGCGACATTTCCACTTTTTCAACTTTTTCTAACGCAAATAATGATGCCAAACCCTAAGAAGGATTAGAAAAGATAACACAGCAAAAGATTTTGAATTCGTCGGCCATGTATTTGTCGACTAGCTTTGATTTCACTTAACTAGTAGAATGCTGTGCATTAAAATAAGGCTGAGTGTGTCTCTCGATTAATGTGAACTGGAATAAATTATTTCAATGTTGGCAATACCACTCGTGTCGTGATTGAAACGACATCTTGTCTTTTTCTGTTTTCGTTGATCCGATCTTCACCGTAAGTAAATAAGCGAAGTGACCGTTTCAGGGGCTAGACAGAGACGTACACTGGGTACACTTTTTTTGGCTGAGCGATTAGCGAAGCCCATTACTCCACTGACCGGAAAAGTTTCATTCTGTTTGTTTGTCTGTTTGTGTGTCTGTCTGTCCGCACGGTAACTACAGAATAAATTGAGATAGCGATCTGGGAATTTCAGGGTCGTTTTGTATCACAAAAAGACAGATCGAGTTCGAAGATGAGCATTCTAGCTCAAAAATTGACTTTAATAAAAATTAAAAACCAAAGGTTGCAAAATATTTATTTTTTTCAAATATTTTTTTATGGGCTCCGAAGGGGTAACTCGTGAAAGTAGAACCCTCCCCTGAACGAAAATTTCGTCCGTTTTGCTCTATCTCGTACCGTTTGGGTGCAAGGGGGCATCTCTGAACAAAAATGTGGTGAAAATGACCAAATAGTCTATTAAACCGTAGAAAAGGCTTTTTATCAAAAAATTGTGTATACACTCCTATTCACTCGTCTCGGGTGTCAGCGCCGCAGGCCTAGCTATGCGCCAGGCGCGTCGCAGCGTAACAGTGTTTCGTGAGATATCGCTAAGCCTGTTACGCAAGACGTGGTCTGGCGTACATATAGCTAGTTATATAATTGGCTGAGCGATTAGCGAAGCCTATTACTCCGTCTGGTCGGAAAAAACTGTTTCTGTCTGTCTGTCTGTGTATCTGTTTATCTGTCCGCACGAAAACTCGAAAACGAATTGAGCGAGCGACCTGGGATTTTCAGGGTCGTTTTGTACCATCTTCAGACAGGTCAAGTTCGAAGATGAGCATTCTAGCTCAAAAATTGGATTTAAAAAAAATCAAAAACAACGGGTCCTACAAATGACGTTTTTCGAACAAAAATTGTTATGGTATCCTAGGGGGTAACTCAATAAAGTGTAGCCCTTTGGACGAAAATTTTGTCTGTTTTGCTCTAGCTCAAACCGTTGAGGCGCTGGAGGGTATTTTTGACGAAAGTAAGCAAAAAAATGTACAACCCTGCATGATTAGTGGAAGCGACGCGCCGTTGACGGGCCAGAGGCCCGTATCTTTGTGTACAATCTTTGCACTACCCGACTAGGGTGTCAGCGCCGCAGGCCAATATAGATGTAGGCCAGGCGCGTCGCAGCGCAACAGTGTTTCGTGAGATATCGCGAAGCCTGTTACGCGAGACGTGGTCTGGCGTACATCTACCTTGTATCAAGGAAGACCAAGAGGATACCCAGGCAAACCAAGAGAAAATCGAAGAAAACCTCTTGAAGCGAACTAACAAGCGCAACAGATGAAATTTTCGATACATGCGTATGGTAAAATTCCGAGGGGTCTACA